ACTAGTGAAGGACAGTAATAATATTCTTTTGGTGTCTGACATTGTACTTGTCTCTGTGCTTGTACCGCTAGACCCCAGTGCAGCATTCAATGCTGATAATTCTGTTTTCTTGATTGTGATAAAGCTCAGGTTAGCCCTAAAAAACATAGAAACGTGTTTTCTAGCCAGATGCTTTCTCTGGATGGCATGGCCTTGGTCTCCAGCACCACTGTGAGGAACCTTGGAGCCAATTTTGATCACGATATGTTGTTCAATGTGCAAACAAATATGTAGGACTCCCTTCATTCTTCTTCATTTCTTTCTGAATGGTATTGCCAAAATTAGAATGTCCTGCCTTAGAGTAGCGCTGACAAGTTAGTTCATGCATTCATTATTTCTATTCTGAATTATCCCTCAAAAGCCTTCAGTTAATCCAAAGCATGAATCACAGAGCGTACTGGCAGAAAGGGAGATCATCTGTCTCCCATATTAGCTTTTTACCATTGACTCCCTGTAAACTCCAGAATTCAGTCCAGAATTGGGAGGCAGACACCCTGACTGCTTTTATGAATAAAACTCTTTTATTTTAAAGCTTCTGGTTGGGGCTGAATCAGGTGACCCTGAACTATCCATTAGTTATGTGGCTAAATGCTCAGACTGCTGGGGAACTTCCAGTGATGCACTGAGCAATTCTCCTCTCATCTCTTTTCACTGCTCATGTGTTTTTATGCCACCACTGCATGTAATTAAATCTTCTCTTCTCTTCTTGCTCCCACAGTTGAGTTCATGCTCTCTCTTCTTATTCCCCTCACTCCAGCTGTTTGTTACAGGTGATTGCCCTTTACTAAGCCTAGTTCAACTGAAGGTTTTCTCCTGTTTAAAGGGAGCTTTTCCTTCCCACTGTCACCAAGTGATTGCTCATAGGGGAACGTCTGGATATTGGGGTTATCTCGGTAATATTTTAGGGTCTTTGGCTCTTTATTAAAGCGTCTTGTGGTGACTGTTTTTGGCAAATGGTGCTATATAGATAAAACTGAAGTGAATAATGTTTTTTGTTATGCTAACATTTATCTGAAAAGAACCTACCAGTTGAAGCTGTTACTTCCCACTGAATTGTAAAGAATTTTAGGTTATGTTGTGCTCAAAAAATAAACACTCCATTTTAAAATATTAAAAATGTAAGCAAAAGTGTTTAAAGCTACTGTGAAGAGGATAAAAGAAGAAGAAGAAACATTCTTAAAGTAAAAGGGCCAACCAAATACCTCATTAGCTGATTGCCACCATTAGCAAAAAATTAACAAGTAGGCTCATTTCCTTCATTATTTAAGCAAAAGTGCAAACATTTTCTAACTTATCAGCTTCTCAAATTTAAGGACTTTTTGTCTCATGTTCTGTGTTCTTAAATATAGTGACACTTACCATATTTTTCGGACCATAAGGCACACCGTCAATGAACGAGTCTGTTTTCATACATAAGGCGCACCAAATTATAAGGCGCATTAAGTGAAACAAAACAGTCAGAAAAGTCTGATTTTACTCAACTCATTCTTCTTGCTTCCTCCACTTCTGTACCATCGATTCATTAATATTGAATTCTCTCACAGCTGCCCTATTCCCATGTTGATGCAGTATATTAATGACTAACCTCCTATTGTGGATGGATTATCTCAGTTGCTCTACTGACTGAAGTTTGGTTCGTTTACAGCATCCTGCCATGTGATTGCATTTGTCCCTAACCATCGGGAACTCTCGTGTTAACTTTTATCGAGTGGAAAAGGGTTAGGGTTCATCTTCCAGCTTCACTGTGTTTGTTATGCTAACACAGCTGTGTTGCTAGCGATCACATAGCACATTAATATATACCAGCTAGCCCAACTTCAGTAACCCTACAAACATCACTGCTGTTTAGTTTTCTGTCTTCATTTATGTTGGAAGTGATAGCAGAGCTGTACGTTTTAATTTTTTCACAAATCTCTCAGTCAGAACATGCTATATCATACTTAGGTGGAAACTAGCGAGCTAACTTCCTGCTAACTTCTAACTCTGTTAAATTTAATAAATTCTGATTTCATGGATGCCTGGATGTTAAACTTAATTGTTACACCTGGTAAAGCAGCAACGCTGATCATTTTATTAAAGATGAAAGAATTTAGACAGTTTTTAACTCTCAGTGATGCCGCAGTGTTCGCTTGACTTTGGGACCTGAAGCGGACGGAGTTTTGGACCCAGATTACTCCGCGAAGCTCCTGACTATGCTAGCCTTAATGCTCCAACAATCCATCAAGCAGTGCGCCTTCATAGCTTACCAAAGTTGTACTAAAACATTTTTGATAGATTTTTGAGCGCCGTGTACCACATAAAATCGGTTCAACGTCAGTAAGCACAACTAGAATTTATACATAAGCAGCTCAGGGTTATAAGGTGTACTGTCGATTTTTGATAAAAATTAAAGGATTTTAAGTGCACTTTATAGTCTAAAAATTACAGTAATAGAGAAAGTTAGAATGTTAAGATTATTTAAAAGATAAAAAGAATATGTAACATTCCCAAGCCTAAAACCCTAAAACAATAAAGTACCACTATGGAAATAAGCCATGTTTTATCCTGCATTATGCCTCATTTTCTACCCATTACAGTTGACTATTATTGTTTTTACATTGTATGCATCCATTTATGTGTGTGTCATCAAAATATGGTTCCAAAGACAACTCCTAAGGAGTCAGATGGGGGGGGGGCAATAATTATCTGAATCCCTGCGGAATTTTTACATTTTTTATTTATTATTTATGTTTATTTGTGTGTTTGTGTGTTTTCTACAGTCAATGGTAAACATACACTTGTATCATCAGCTTACAGGCTAAAAATGTCACAAAACACACTATTATTAATTTCTGGATATACAAGGTACTGATAGACCTTACAGCCATTGCTTTCTGAAGGACTCATCTGAAGGATTGTTTTGCATTTAACATAAATTGCCTAAAAGGTGTAGCCATGCTTTTCCCACTGTTTTCTACACTCCCTGTTTCCTGTCTATCCAAATTTCAAATTAAAAACTTTTGACATTTATGAAAATAAATAATAGAAATACAATTTTCATGGCTACATATTTGTACACCCCATGTTTCTGTAAGTATAATATAATTATATTCCATAATAGTATATGCTAACTTTTGATGATTTTGCAGTGATATCTTTTAGCTACTGAACTGTTTTTTCCCTTATTCTTTCCTCGTATGTTTACTTTGATCCCATTGCAAAATAAATGAACTCAATTCCAGCGGCCTCACCAAAAACTCCATTCGTCCTCCTCGTGTCGTGCAGCTGACACACCACAGGTGACGTGATTAGTTTTTACAGACCACACTGAGATTAAAAAGACATTCACAGTCTTAAATTTGATTTCATCCTCTGTTTGTGGCTCTGCTTGTTCATTCATCCACTTTGAATAAATGGACCTGGCTAATTTTTCCCTCTGAAGGCTCGCCTGCTCTTTGCCTCATCAGTGTCTTCTTCGCAGGAGGAAGAGAAAAGGAGAAGGTGGTGAGTGGCATTGCTGGGAGTGGCAGATTACTGGTCGAGAGGAGTGACCCATTTAATAAGGTCAGTCACATGATGGCAACACCATAAGCCTGTTGGTCACTCCAGTGGTGACCAGCCTGCTCACTGAGGAGTTATGTGTGAAGATGAATTAATAGCATGTAGGCCACTATGTTACCAGAGACACTTATGAGGGTTTCATTTTTAACTAAACACACAAAGAAATGGTCAAATAAAAGTAAGAGCCTCCAAAAATAAACTGTGGTGTAGTTACACATGAAGATGCTTAAGATAGCAATTCGATTATTTTAAAGAGCACGAGAAGTGCTCTCTCTCTGTCGCTCTGTCTGATCATCTCTTTGTCAGCCCTTTCTCAAGGTTACTTTAGTTCAATGGGAGTGTCTTATTTGGACCACGTGATCCTGATGCAAAGTTACTCTGTGTCAAAGCTGTGCTCAGCTGCAGGGATGGCGTGATGTACCAAATGATACCCCACTAGAAATAAATCAATATATAAAATAAATAAATAAATAAACACTGGGACAAAAAAGATACAAGCTTTGGCTGAATTTATTTAATCGGGAAATTAAAAAATGTGAATGACCGAAATGCATCATGCAGATGCAGCTTTAGACACTAGCGTAGTTATTTTGCGACAAATGAGAGAAGCAGCTGACCACTTAATGCGTATGAGCATGCAGCGAGAACGGATAGTTCATCCCCAATAACCTTGGTGTCGATCGGATCTTCCCGCACGACCTACAAGCCCCTCATATTCAGCAGGGGAGTCTGCCATTGCGCAGCAGCCAACTGGGTGAAGGTGGGAAATCCACTAAGAGCGAGGATGCTTCTATAGGGAGTCGGGGTTTATTTCCTCAGTCAACATTTTCCGTTTTTTCAGGCGAAATTTACGCTGCTGGAAATCGCCATCCCTTGCCCAGCTCCCCCACTGTGGTCTGTCTCAGTTATATTGTCAACCCCCCACCCCTCCTCCTCTCTGCCTCCTTAATCTCCCAGATTGTCGGCGACTTGCTGCAGTCGATGCTGCAGTTCTGAACCGCTCCTGCGCCGGGACAGCTGACTCAATGAGAAAGACATGCTCGCATTCGTTTTGGTCTCTGGGTCTCTCTGGATTATATTAGGTGAGTCGTGAATGCCTCTTTGTCATTTTGATTCATTTGAACGATTTAGCGTCGCTGGGCTGGAGGCCAAGAAAAAAAGCGGATGCACCTGCCGCGCAGTGGGCCGAGGCGCATTCGTGTCTCATTCATTACCGGCTTTTTTATTTTTCTGAGGCTGTGCTTGAATATTTCCGTTTTTACAGACGACACTGCAAGAAGCTTTAGTCGCGATCCATTGCTGCATTTGGCGGTTTGCCTGCACCGCAGGACGCGGGTGACATTTTTTCATTTTCTCAGGCTACACGTGTGTTAAGTCAGCCCGGGGGCAGGCGTTAGCATTTCACCGTAGCGGGCTCTAGCTCCAAGCAAGCGCAGGGCTCGGATTTCTGGTCAAGAACTCCGAGATTAACAGGCCAACATCATCGAGGGATGCATTCAGGTGGGCATTAGCTACCTCTAATCAGGTATGGAGTGGGATGGACGACTGGTTGCCATGCGGCTGGGTCCGCGCGGCTGTTCCGGGTATCAGGGTTTTAATGTAAGAGTGTGTGCTTCGTGCTTAAATCCAACTATTAAAGACAAGGCTGGAAGCTGGAAGGGGTACATTTAAGGTTGGACCGCCGCTAAGGTCGTATGACATTGTGCGTAGAACCCGGACACACGTCATTTAAACCCCCCACCCCACCCCCTGTTAGCTCACGTCTCCCAACAGCCGGCCATTCACACCCTCGCGTCTGCTGTGCGCCTCTACTTCAACCTCGCTTTCAATAATCTCATATCAAACACATCAGATGGGCAGAAAGCCGGTTTTAAAAGTCATCATTTCGCCCATGATGTCGTCCGCCATGCTTCCGTGATGGAGGATGAGGGGATGAGGAAGGATGAAGACCGATGACGCGTTTCAAGAGGCTGCCGCTGATTGGACGGAGCTGTCCATGAGCGAGCAGTGCTGAAATCCTGCGGCCTACCGGCAAACTACCGGGCACGGCGTGCTCGCTTTCACCAACACGACCCCCACCCTGGTTTTACGCACCGATTCTTAGGGGTGTTGGAGCTGAGCAGAGACACCATTGCTTGACATCCGAATAAATAATATCAAAATAAATAAAGTACTAAAAAAACATCAGTTTCGAGCAGTGATGTTAAAAACTGAGGGATTCTCATATGATGAAAGAAACTGCAAGTAGTGAAGGCTGTTTGTTTGTTTGTTTGTTTGTTTGTTTTAAAAGAATTGTGGCGGTAGATTATGTGCCAGCTCGGTAGGTTTAATGGCAAATAGGCGGAGGTTATTAATCCTCCAAAGAACAGGTCGCATCGCCAGCGACGAACATGTGGTAACAGCTGGCGTTTTGACTTAATATTCCATGTTGCAGTTATAGGTTTGAATGTGCTTTGTACGCAATCACTTGGAGTCTGCGATCCAAATTTAAAATGAAATTAATTGTTCGCTTGAAAATAAAGATCCCCTGGGAGCACTCAATGCACCTCTCACCTGTCACCACATCCCAACGCCCTGCTGCTCCTTAGAATAAATAATGCATTTTAATCAACGGCTAGTGCAGCCCTACACATGGTGTAAGCCTATTCTTTTTCCTCCCTTAATATTTAATTAAATAGATAGGGGCGGTTTCACCCCGCCCTTTGCCAAGAAACAGCCAATGGTGTTTTAGTATCCAAGCAGAGCAGCTCCTCTGTTTAACGTAACACAAGCCTTGTGCACACCAGGGGACTGCTGACTTGTAATTGGATGACTATCCAGTACATCATCGTGCTCTTTTTTTTTTTTTTATTCACACTGAGAATCTTTTGCCTCTTAAATTAGAAACTACAACATGAAGGAAGTTGCACTGTGAAAATGCTGAAATAAAATTCCTCTAATTAAAGAAGAACTGCATGACTGGGCAATATTATAAGACAAATCTTGAGGGTTAAGTAATTCCTGCTGTGCAATAATAACTGCTTGTTACTGACCACTTTCACTGAATCCTAGGAGTGAGGCGAATTCCAGGAAAGGTCATTTTATTTGGAGCGGTGGATGGAAATTTGCTAACAAGCATGACCTTAAAGTGGTGCATAGACGATATATTAAACAAATGCAACACCTTAAGTACATATCGCCGAAGACAGTAATAATAAAATTAGGCAGTCTGGGTGCTCTCAGGGCCATATGTCAGCATGGATTTTTGCTGTTTCAGCAGTCTGTGCACACTCTTCCACATATTGTGGGATGATGGGTTTAGTATTAAGTGCTGTGCAGCTGTCTGCCTCCCTCTTTCTCATATACATTTGTTTTTTAAGTGGTGCAGTACTGTACCATACTCTAAAATGCTCCATCTTTGTTGACTGGATATTGCCTGTCATGAGCCTTAAATGAATCAACTCCCTTTCTGATTAAAGACTTTTAAAAAATTTGTGAGCATCTACAGCAAATTTTAATAATGCACAATATTAAAAGGAAGTTATTATGCATGCTGGTCAGTAAGAAAGTGTTCTTAAACGAAATAACAGCCATTTAGCTAGAACATTTTTTAGAATATATATATATATGTATGTTTCCTCGTTCCTCTAAAACTGTACGTGTGCAAGGAGAACACTCTCTCTAAAAAGGAGTGAAAGTGGTTGTCTTTGCCTGGAGTTCAGACTGTAAAATGAAGCTGTAAAAACACAACACTATGCATGTACACTGTGGTTAACACTTTTGCAAAAGTGTTGTTTTGTTTGTTTTTTTCATCTTTCTGGAAGAAGTTTCAGTTAAAGGGTGTAGCTCTATTTTTAAAAAATCATATATACACACACAGACACACATAGTGACTTGTTAATGATCCTACCCCTCCAGCTTGAGATCTAAAAGTCAGCTTTCCCTCTCACTTTGATAGTCAAATTAAACTGTGAGCAGCATCAGTTGATGTTTGTGTGTGTGATTTGTTTAAATGCGCACAGGTTTCTTTGCATATAGGTGGGTACGCGTGTGTGTATTGTTTGACACTATGCCAGGCCACTGAAGGAGAAGTTGAGTCTGCATGTTTAGGCAGCGAGAGCCAGAAAGAGAGACACACATACACACACACACACACAGAGCATCAGGGAGGAGGGGTGGGTGGGTGTGGTGAGAGTGTGCAGCGTCTGTTGAGCCGAGGGTGGTGTGATACGGAAGCCAGCCAGGCTCAAACGAGGCCAAAACGCTTCTCGCTTCCCTCCTCTTGCTTGCCTCAGCTTAATCTGGCTGTTGGCACTGGCAAGGTAATCACTAGTTTGCACCGGACAATGTGATATCCGCCCGGTACCCCTTGACACACATCACCTGCACACGCACCCACCTACACAGACACACATCACACCTCACCGGCTGCCTGGCTTCCCCGACGCCTTTGTAAGTGCCGCTGACTAGACCACATCTGCTTTAACCCTTAGGTAATGCAGTTATAGTTTAGATCTGCTGCCTGCTTTGTTTGCTCTATATTTCTCTTTTTTATTACAGTGCTGCATTTTTTTTTTAACATATTCTGTATATGTTGTATATTCCAGTCCCTTCTGCTCAGTATATCCATATTACTTATTTATTCTGCACCTTATATCTTTAAATGTTCTTGCATGAGTAATACCTGCTCTACCCCTCCTTGACTGAGATGCAGGAGGGGGGAGAAGGATCATTCTTCTGCACCGGATATTACAGCATCTCTGCAAGTATTCCTTATTGAGCGTGACAGAAAAAAGTTGTGGTTTAAGTCATGAGGTGTGGGCAGAAAGAGATATGAATGAGTGGCTAAAAGAGAGTGACTATAAGCAAGGGTAGGTGGTGTTCTGGGATGATTAAGCACTGATAAATTGTTTTTATTTTATTTTTTTTAAGAAAAAAAAAAGAAAAGCATGAGCAAGAAGAGCGATACCGTGCACTGACGCGAGTGACACTACAAAGAGAAGGAGGGGAATTTGAAGAATAAGAGAAAGCTGAGCAGGATGTCTTTAAATAGAATACTGTAGTGAGGTTACTGCTGGTCATCTGTCTCTGTGCTAATAGGTTGTAATCTCGCCACGTTGGACTCTAATCATTGGTGATGGCCCTCGGATGGGCCGATGGGGCGGGACTTAAGGACGAAGGGTTGTGTTTCCTTCACTTTAAGCCTCAGAGGTCAAAGGAAGTTTAACTGACCCATCCACTTCCCCTGATCACTGCATAGATTGCTGTGCCCCTGCACCAAAATCTTTGCTAAGTGTAATCTTCCTGAGACAGGAAGGGAAGGAACCTCTGGGGCTGAGGTGGTACGATAAGGAGCCAACGTTTCATGCAATTTCACTAATCTAACTGGTTAAATAAAGCAGCAGAACTCCTTCGCATTTCTGTTTTCCGTCTCTATTTAAGGGAACTCTTTAAAGAAACTATGCGAGGGAGGCTGCAGTTGCGAATCTCCTTTGCTCCATGTAATTCCGTGTAGTGCATATGTATGAAAAATTGCAACGTTTATTTTTGTAACCCAGCTGTTCACGCGCAGCATGTGCACTAGACGTTTTGTAACAGATACGTTGTAGTCAGTGTTATCTTCTTTCAGTTCTCTGACTGTGCACATCTGTCAGGCTTGCAGCCAAGTGTATGTCTGCTCATGTCTACTCGTTTTCTTTTTCCTCCAAGCATATTTTTTCACACTCTCTATTCAATCTGTTTTACCTCATGAATTAGGGCGCTTGCCTCACCTCCTCACTTTAGGTCAGATTGCAGGGTCGATCACTGGTACAGATCTGAAGTCCTGTGTTTTAAAAATGACATATGGTCACTTGATGGTTATTGAATCTGTTTCATATGGAAAATCCCAAGAAGTCATCAACAAAATCCTGACAAAACCAGAGAAAATAGAAGGCACATGAATATCATAAGCTCTGCAACCATTTACAGCAGTGGGACACTTTGCTCAGCTTTTTGTTATACAGTATTACCTGATTATAAAACTCAGAAACAGCTACGCTATCTCCACGACTGTTGAAAGCTCAGCCATAGCTTTACAGCATCTCAGTTGCAATAAACCCTT